AGGAGGATCTAGTTTGGGTGTTGGATGGCCCCATTTTGGAATAAAGGTAGGAATAAAGCTGCTGTAAACATCCATGTGTAGACTTCTCTTTGTATGTACCTTCAGTTCATTTGGACAAGGACTTGGGACTCTGATACATACTGGACTCACTTTCCCCACTTGGTTCTCACCCTTTGTCAGATCTGGAGACTTACCCTGGCTCTCTTATGTTTCTCATGCCCCTCGTGTATCTGCCGATCCCAGACTCGGCCCTGGGTTCTGCCTGGGCCTTGCCTGGGTGCTTCATTCCCTTCTCTCTCTTACCATTGGGATAGTTTGGTTGGCCTTTCCCTTGTTCCTGTAGTACAAACTAGCACATTCCATGGAGTCTTTAACTCACATATTGTTTTATTTTTGTATTCTTGATTTCTTTTAAAAAAATTCTTCTTAAAATTTACCATTTTGTCATCTTTCCTCATAGCTCTTATATTTCTTAAAAGTTATAGCTACTTAAAAACCTTTGCTCTTCTATTATTTTGTATGTTGAATTTTTTTTGTTATTATTATTTTTGTTTTTTGGTACTGGTGTTTGAACTCAGGACCTTGTGCTTGCTAGGCAGACACTCTGATCCATGCCCTCAGCCCTTGTGGTTAGCTTCGATGACAACAAGCCTTGCCTGACTTGTTGGTTAAAATAGGGGTTTCACTAACATTTTGCTTGGTCTGGTCTTGAATGGACAGTCTCCCAGTCTTCATCTCTTAAGTAGCTAGATTCATAAGTGTGAACCACTGTGCCCAGCCCTATCCATGTTTTGTTTTTATTTGTTATTTGGGGTTTGAACTGAGGACTCAATGGTTAAGTGGGCATTATAATTGTATTTATTTACTTTTGTAGTGTTGGGATGGAACCAAGGGCCTTGCTCATATAAGGCAAGGGCTCTACCACTGAACTACATCCCCAGTCTTTGTAAATTTGTTTGTTAGCTAACACTTAGACCTTAATTTTTGGTTTTGGAACTCAGGGCTCTGTGCACACTAGGTAGGTACTCTACCACTTGAACCACGCCTCCAGTCTCATGTTTTTTAAACAAGTCATTTGATGCTTGGATCATCTGAATGCCTTGTGTACTCTTCTGTGGCCAGGTACCCCCAGTATGCCTGCTCTGTATGGTGATCAGCCTTGTTTCCTATCTTCTCGCTTTGAGAACATGGGTCTTGATGTGGTGGGGGTTGTGTTCCTGGACTGGCCAGGAATGTCAGTGACCTCAGGAGTTGTGTGTTGCTGTATCCCTGTGTTGCTTTGCTGGTTCTTTTCTGCATTCTGTACTGAGCTCCCTTCCCTTTGGCTACAGAAGCTACAGGCTCTCAGTCCTGGTCTTCATGTTTCTGATGTGGCAGTATCTGGCTGTCCCCAGTATGCAGCAGACAGGGCATACCCAGATGTCCTTCCACACTCCCCGCAATGTCAGACTCACTGATGGGGACCCACACCTCGGCAAATTGCTTCATCTCTCCAGAGAAGTGAAGAGAGCCAAGGTGGCTGTCTGTATTTGCTTGGCTCCTACTGTGTGTAGGCCCCTCTCTGCCCACTTCACAGAGCAGTCATTTGGAAACAAACTTGGGGCTCATCAAATGGAGAGGAGGTGCCAAGAGGGAAAAGCTACTGTTGAGCCCTCAGCCCCAAGCCCAGGGCCATAGAACTTGTCTCAGATGTGGGCAAGACTATGGGACCCACCATTGTGCACAAGAGGAGGCCAGGCTCCCTTGGAGCCTTACTGGCCTTGGCATCCCTGTGGGGGTTGGCAGCTGGGCTGTAGGTCAGGTGTGAGAACCCTGGGGAGGAAGTTCTTTAAGGTGGGACTGCCTGAGGAATCGATGTAGGAAACTTGACTCCAATCCTATTCTTAATCCTCATGTTTTGCTGCCCCCACCAGGTTTTAATCCTGATCCTACCCAGGGATTTTAAGAACTGACCCAAATCCTGACTGAGGAGAAGGATGGGAGAAGGGTATACTCCAGCCTCACCCCCTCCAAACTCATCCTTCTAACTTCACCCTTTTCAGCTTCACCATTCCATGCAGCTTTACCTCCTCCAGCCTCACCCCTCTGTAGCTTCATCCCCTCTATGCTCACTCCTTTCTGAAGCCACACTCCCCTCCACAGTGTCATCCAATCCTTTAGCTTCACGCCCCCCAGCCTCACTACTAGCTTCATTCACCTCCAACCTTATCTCCCTTTAGCCACAGCCCCTCTGTCCTCACCTCCCTTCAGCCTCACTTCCATTCAGCTTCACCCCTCTGTGCCTCACCTCTCTAGCCTCACTCCTTCCTCCATCCACATGCCTCCGGTCTCACCACTCTCTGCAGCCTCACTGCTCCCTCCAGTCTCAGCCTTCCTCTAGCCTCTTCCCCTTCATCCTCACCCCTTCCACCCTTATTGCTCCTTCCAGTCTTACTCCTTCTACCCTCACTACTCTTGAAACCTCACTCCTCCTCTAGCCTCATCCTCCTTCCTTATAGCCTCAACCCTCCCTGCAGCCTCACTCCTCTTCTGGCCTCACCCCGCATCCTCCCCCCTCCTGCTTCCTTTGCACAGTTTCCTCCCCCCGTCAGTGTCCTCCTTTTTGCTCTGTGACCCCCCCCTCCAGATGCTATCCTTGCCTGGCTCCCCCACCCAGCACAGTCTTCGTTCCATAAGGAACCTGTATTTCCTTTGCTTCAATATCATGCTGTACCTGTACAATGCTGCATATTCCCTCTAGATGTCCCTGAAGTTGGTTGGTACCACAGGTGGGCAGAGAGGCCAGGGTGGGTAGTAGTAATGCCATCCATTTATGCCAGGAGCTGGGGAGCACATCCCATGTATTATAGAGTAATCCTCGAAATCCTAATTCCATGCATTTGTGAATGAATGAATGAGAGAGCAAATGAATGATGGAGCTTGGATAGAGGCATCCTGTTCTGTGAGTGCCAGTGGGGAATCTCAGTGGGTAGAGCCCACTTCCAGGGTGGTGGACCCTGAAGCCTTTGCCTGTCACAACCTAGATCTTGACAGAGTCAGATGTGGATGCTGGATATGTAGTGGGTGGGTGGAAGGTTCCTGATGCTCCTCCCATGTGGTCTGCCTGGGACACCAGAGTTTCCATATGGGCCTTGTTTTTTATGGTGGGGGGCTGTGTGTTGCAGGGGGGATGATGGCTTTGCCTGCCTGCACAAGGACACCTCTTCCTGGGGGCAGGGACCTTCTCTCACCCCTACAGGGCAGCTGTGTACTGTCCCCCATCAAGCACCAGAGGGTGAGTTCCTGGGCTCTCCCAGGACCTCTCAGGAGGACCCCACCCAAGTGACTGGTGTCCATGCAGGAAGCAAGGTGGGGGATTTGGAGTTCCCATTCTTGACCTTGGGCCAGGGGCTGCCCCTCTCTGGACAGTGACTCACGTGGGCGGAGCGGGCACGGCACTCAGGACCTCGGTGCCTGGCCTTGTCCCCAGGACAGTTGGCCCCGATGGGACACGCTGCAGGCAAGGTCCGGCGCCCTCGTCCTCCGCCCAGGAGGCAGAGAGAAAGGTCGCCCTGCCGAGGTGATGGGCCTGGATGTTTGGAGCCAAACCTGCCCAGCCGGTTTGAGGCCAGCAGGTGGTGGGGTTAGGGAAGGCAGTGCATCTGAGGGTCACCCCCACCCTCCCTGGCTGGGAACAAAGGCCAAGTGTTTGGGCTGAGCCGACTGGACAATGGCCCCAGAATTCTACCCCAGAGGTGGTGGTGTGTTTACGGGGGGAAGTCACCTTTCTTCTGCCAACCTTGGGATCTTTATTTAAATATTTATGTTGCACTAATTGTAAACCAGGCACCAAAGCATATACAAGTAATTACTTCCAAGCAGCCTGGGCCCAGAGAAGTTGAGCCACCTGGTGGAGGTCACCCAGCAGCAGCAAGACAGGGCAAGTTGATTGCATGTTGCTGCTGCATGTCAGGTGGTGGTGGCCCAGGCCAAAGGGTTTCCAGCCTAGAAGCCTGAGTTACAGAACAGTTCAGTCAGTACAAGTATTAGGTGCCAGGGAGAGGTGTGAGGCCTGGGACATTCTGGATGAAGGAGGTGCCTGACTGTCCCCTGGGAATGCTTTCCAGATAGAGAGAAGGGCTTGGACTCCAGTGTTCTGAAAGCCCAGCTCCATTTCCACTGAGGAGGAGTCTCCACTGTAAAGTGCATGTTGTTTATAGGGGGGAAAGGGGAGGACACACACCACAGCATGACCGGGCTGACTTAACTCCCCAGCCCGCCTTGACCCTGACAACTGAGCAGCCCTGAGGCCCCACCCATTGTCCCAGTTCACTGGTGCACACCTGTCCTTCTGCTTGTGTTCTGCCCAGACAGACCATTCTCCCCTCCTTCATACACAGCTCTGAATGCCCTCTTCCTCTACAGGCTTCTCCTGTGTCTGGCTAAATCTTTGTCCCCTCCCAGTACCTTCCCTCATGGAGATTCTCCTAGGCTCCACAGACATCCCCTTCCCTTGGTCTCCTGGTATTGGAGACCCAGGAAGGCAGGAGTCATCTCCACTGCTTGCTGTGTTTGTCTCTGGAGCCTCCATTGTTTTGCTATGGAGCAGAGTGCTGCCCTCTGCCTGATCCTGGTAACTGGCTCCTGCCTCCTATCCACTTTGGCCTCAGAGGGCCCAGGCTTCCAGTGCTGGGACGCTTTTCACAACTTGATTTCAATGTCACTGCCAAGTGTGTCTGTTCCTGAGCCCAGAGTGGGTCTGTTTTGGCTACTGCATGTCTGGCTCAGGTTCTGGTAAATAAAGAGCCACTTTCTCCACTGAAGACACCTCACTGCATGCTGCTGAGCTCTGAGGTCCTTCAATCCTGCCTTGTATCGACATGTCACCCCTGCCTTGCCAGGCTCTGCTCCAGGGCTGGCCCTGATACAGCAGGCCCCTCAGGGCTTATATGTACATGGGGAATCTTGTCATGCCTCACATAGGTGGCTGTCATTCCACAGGGGATAGGAGCTATGCAGAGTGGATTTTCCTCCCTGTGATAGTGATACCAGGGAAGCCATCAAGGAGCTGCAGTGAGGTGGGAGGGAGGCAACACAGGAGCAGTGCATGTGCAAAGGCCCTGGGGCTGGTGCTGGTTGCATCTGCTCCAGGAGCAGAAAGGACGCCTGAGGGTGTGAATGAGGAAGACTGTGGAGGTGGGTGGCACTGTTCCATGGGCCCAGAAGGCATTGGGTTGATCTGGGATGTTGGGATGCAGTGGTCTCCTAAGAAGCCACCAGAGCAGCTCTGGCAGGGAAGTGGCAGAGCAGTGGGTGCTTTGGCAGAAGGTGGGAGCAGTGAGCGTAGGTGTTCGGGTCCCGAAGTGCTGCTGGGAGAGCCACATGCCTACCTGGCTTCCCACAGCCTCTCTGCCCTTCGCCATCCTGACTCTGGTGAACACCCCATACAAGCGAGGATTCTACTGTGGAGATGACTCCATCCGGTACCCCTACCGTCCAGACACTATCACCCACGGGCTCATGGCTGGGGTGACTATCACAGCCACTGTCCTCCTTGTAAGGCGGGAAGGGCTTTGAAGGTGGGGGGCAAGGATGTGCCTGGAGAGAATAATGGAGATGGATGGGGGCTGGGGGGAATGGTGTGTGTGGGAGCCCCAGCTTTCCCCATGGGAGGACAGGCCAGGCCCTGGCCCTGTCCATTTTGGGTCTGCCGCTACTCCCTTGGCAGGTCTCAGCAGGTGAAGCCTACCTCGTCTACACAGACCGCCTCTACTCCCGCTCTGACTTCAACAACTATGTGGCTGCTGTCTACAAGGTGCTGGGGACCTTCATCTTCGGGGCAGCTGTGAGCCAGTCATTGACGGACCTGGCTAAGTACATGATTGGCCGTCTGCGTCCGAACTTCCTGGCTGTCTGTGACCCGGACTGGAGTCGGGTCAATTGCTCTGTCTATGTGCAGCTGGACAAAGTGTGTAGAGGGAGTACGGCCAATGTCACTGAGGCCAGGTGAGTGCCAGGCCCAAGCGAGGCTCTCCAGTACAATAGGGAGAAAGCCCGGGTGACAGAGAAAGCTGGTGAGCAGAGCCAGCAGGAGGTGGCTAGGGGTCTGGGAGGTGGAGATGGAGGTCCCAGGGGTGGTGCATCTGGGAGGGCAGAGGCACAGCTGGGGATTCCAGGCACAGGCTCTCCTCCCTGCCACCCTAGCTGTGGGTTTCTGGTAAGGAATCATCTGTTGGGGTTGTCAGCATTGAGCCTCTCTGTCTTGCTCCCTTTGAGAACATCATTGACTTTAACTGTTGGTTATGTGTCTCTGGTTCTCTCAAGTCTTTTCTACTTGCAATTCCAGACTTCTTGGGTGTATAATTTGATGTTTTCCATGAACTTGGGAAAGCTTTTAGCACCATTTTTTCGCATATGCTCTTTGCCCCATCCCTCTCTCCTGGAGCCTGGCTGTGCATGCTAGGTGTAGCCAGTGTGATTGTGGCACCCTTGTTCCTCCTGATGGCATTTGGGTGCCCTAAGTTCACCTTACCTGTTTATACCTATTGGCTGTCAAGTCCTGTAGGGCTTTGTCACTTTGAATATTAATTTTCACGTCTGGAATTACTTTTTGGCTACCTGTTAACCCCTTCCGACTTTGCAGATCTCTGGTGGGAGTTCTTTGTATCTCAGCCATCCAGGATTTTCAATGGCTGCTTTTAGTGTTTCCCTAAGAACAGCTTCTGTAGAATGGATCCCTCTCCCAGTGGCCACTTCCTTTTTCTTGTCTACCTATCTTGTAAATATTTCATTGTGTTTGTTGATGCTCTTTATGTAGCAGCTTTCCTTTCCTCTTTCTTCTCTTTTTGGCGGTATTGGGGTTTAACTCAGGGCCTTGTGTTTGCTAGGCAGGTACTCTACCGCTTAGCCATACCTCCAGCCTTTTTTTTTGCTTTCATTGTTTTTCTGGATAGGGTCTCATGTTTTTGCCCAGGCTGATCTTAGTTTTTCCTATCTGTGCTTCTTGTGTAGCTGAAACGATAGGCATTTGCCATCAGGCCTGGCTCGTTTGGTTGAAGATGGGCTTTGCTAACTTTTGGCCTGGGCTGACGTTGAACCATGGTCCTCGAGATTCTTCTGATCTTCACCTCCTGAGTAGCTGGAATTATAGGCAAGAGCTGTGCTTTACCACATAATGGCTTTTCTGAGTGAATGGAGTGAAGTCTGTATTCCTACTCAAGTTAGTCATGAGGTTCTGCTGTTAGTGTGGTGGTCAGCCTGGGATCAGATGCAGATTTCTCCTTTTCTTGTTCCTTGGGTGCTGAGGATTTTGGAACCTGCGGTCTCAGCATGCTAGGCAAGTGCTGTACCACGGAGTCATAGCCCAGTCCTTAGGCACCTCCTTAAACTCTAGGGGCTGGAGAAAAACTACTAGAGTTACAGAAGAACTCCTCTGCCCTGGCCTTGTCCCATCTGCAGAGCCTGTGGTCAGTTCATAGGAGGGTTTGGGGCTGCCTGGCTCCCCTAGGCCTCATCCTTCTGAGAAGAGGCCTCAGCTGCTCTTCATGGCTTCAGGTAGCAGTGACTAGTGTCTTTGCATTAGGTGACATGACAGCCAGTCCTGAGAGTCATCAGCCATCCCAGCAGTGACTGTGGCTCTCTGTGCTGTGGCTGTGCCAAGTGTGTGGACTGCTGGCCTCGTCTGCTTCAGGACAGAGACTGGAGGGCATGAATGAGAGGACAGTGTGGAGGTGGGCCACGTGGCTTGGTGGCACTGGGGCCTCTTGACTGAGTGCCCTGCCTGTTGTAAGCTTCCTTTTGATTTGCAGAGCTGCCCCTCTGCAGCCTGCTTGCTGCCGATACAGCTCTTTGCTTTGCCTCTCTGCTGTCTCTGACATCCTTTGCTAAACCTGGGATTTATGCAGACAGAAAGCATGGAGCTGCCTCAGTTTCCACAGATGGGAAATAGTTGTGGGAGGACAGTGGATGCAGAAGGGGCATCAGCTACTTGGGTGATGAATGGTCTGCCTGGGTTCTAATGGGCCTGGGTGTTGGCTGTGAGCCCCAGTCTGACACTGTTCTGTTGCCACAGGACTTGGAAGGGAATAAGGGCAACCTCATCTTGCTGGGATAAGCTGTGTGTGAAATCCCCTTGTGGTGGACATGGGCTGGGAGGCAGCAGAGAGGCCAGGCCTGAGAGCTATGGAGGAGAGAGGTGCCAAGAGAGTCACCTAGTTGCTGATGGCAGGCCAGACTCTGAAGTGCAGAGAGTTTGGCCCTGCTGTTGTTCCCCAGCTCCTGGACCCCACTGAGCCCAGTTGCCCTCTCCTTTCCTAGGCTGTTGTTCTATTCAGGACACTCCTCCTTCGGGATGTACTGCATGATGTTCTTGGTGGTGAGTTTTTCTGCTGACTTGCTTGCTGTGGAGCCCCAGCCAGGTCACGCCCCTTCCCTGAGTCTCAATCTCCCTGGCTGTGCAGTGAGCGTGGTGTGAGAGGAGGTGGTGCTGGGTAGTGCTCACAGCTTATTCATACAGATAGAAGCCTTGTGTCCCCATGCTGCTCCCCTGGCCTCAGAACTGCCACCTGTGCACTGGGCGGGACAGGGGTTGCTGGTAGTGCCTAGACTGACTGTGCCGCTCCCCACAGCTCTATGTGCTGGCGCAGCTCTGCTGAAGTGGGCACTTTTCTGCGCAGAGGACTGGCCCTCATAGTTGCCCATCAGCAATGAAACATATATGTGCAGACCCTAGGGTTCTGGGCCTTGTAGGCAGCCCTGGTCTATCCACTGTCCATGATCCTATGGGACTCACTAAAGCTGTTGCCTGTGGCGCACACCCTGAGTCCTGATTGTCCTACCCACACAGACCCAAGCACCTGACCAGGCTTCTGAAGTGAGTCACTTTTTCATCAAAGGCCTGGCTGTGAGCACCATGCAGCAAACATCCATTCACCTCCCCTAAATCCTTCTGATGACTCACTGATCTCTAGTAAATAAAAGGCTGCTCAATGAGAAAATGGACTTACGTTGTTCAGATGAGGGAAGAAAGTCTCATTTCTCGAACACAATGAGGAACTTACAGATCTCTGCTTGATGAAATTTTCGATGTGCTCCTAAACTTCTCTATCTATGCACTTGGACATTCTAATGCTGGCAAAGAACTCTTACCAGTTTAGAAATATCCTCATCCCTACCATCCCCAGGTGATGTCTGATCACCTGGCCTTTCTTCAACAAGAACTGTAGGGCCACTGTAGCCAGAACCAGCCTCACCCCTGAGGTTCTTCCTTGGTCATTTCCTACCCATTGAAATCCCTCCACCCCACTGGCTGGAAAAATTCCTTCTGCTGTATTTGGAATTGAGCTTGATCTCTCCCCAACTTCAAGAGCCTATAACAATGGCCTTTTTACCTATCTTGATGGTCCTGAATAAAGTCCTTCTTCCCACGCTTTAAGTGTCTCTGGGTAATTTTTTTTCTCTAACACTGCAAGTGGAGGAACACCAAAGATTGCCAGTAGCTTGGAGAGACAAGGAAGGATTCTCCCCAACTGGTTTCCTAAGGAGCAGGTCTCTGCTGATGTCTAACTTCAGAATTCCAGCTCCAAGATGGCAAAAGAATGAATTTCTGCTTAAACCACACAGTGTGCAGTAATACTAGAAAGTGCTTCCATGGTTGTCTTTGCACTAAAGATACCATTTGCTTCTCCCAACCCACCTCGCCAATAACATCAACATTTAGAGGACAGCTCTGAATTGGAGAAACGTGAACTTGCTCTAGGAATGGGTCAAGGGAAGTGGTCATAGCGCTTGGAGGGCTGAATTGAAAGATCACAGAAGGTGGGGCTAAGATTAGGACAGGGGCAGGTATGAAGCTGGGAGAGACGGACTTGAGCACACCTCCCCTCTTCTGAGTCTGGCCTGTCTCATGAATTTTCTCAGGAGACCTAGAGTCCCATGGCTCCAAAGTGGGATGATGCCAACCGCCCAAAGAATGACCTAAATAAGTCCAGCCTGAATGACAAAAGTGTGTTAGTAGGGGTCATGTGTAGAGTAGTGGATGACTACAGAGGACTATATTGACTAGGCCTGGACTGAATCTCCCAAAGAACTATCACTTGGATTCTACCAAACCCAGAGGGTGCCAACTTTTGCCTACCAGGCTCCTATTTATGACTGAGTCTATAGCAGAAACCTGGACCTAGAGCGCCACCTACTGTCAAAATAGCAGGAGCAATTACAGGTTCTAGAGTCTGGGAGTTACATGCTTATGCATGTTCTGTCCTTGCTCTTCCCTGGGGCTTATCAGAGGGCTTGTTGTGCTGCAGTCTGGCATGCTAAACAATGAAATGGTGACCTGTTGCAAGATAAGAGCTACTCTGGTTGGGAGTTGGACCAGTCATACTACATCACACTTTGCTATCCTGTCTTGGGGATCTTCCAGTCTGGAGAGTCCTGTTCTCATCTCAGGAGTGGGCATCAGACCCAAGACCACAGGCTGAGTCTTCTCCCCAGGCAGCAAGTTTCACGCCCAATATTTGGGGGGCATTTTCCTCTCCATACCTCTTCCTGCTCAGCTTTTTCTTCTGAGGTAGCCTCAGCACCTTCCAGTCTGCTGGGATGGAAGGGAGGCCTATTCCAGCCTGTTCAGGAATATAGGGGTAAGGGGCTGTAGCTTTTCTCCAGGCCAAAGGATGCCCCTCTACCCTCCCTGTGCTGTGCTGGGTCTTGACAGTACATGGATTTTAATAGGAAATGGCCACCACTTTTCTTCTTTTCCTATTCTTGAAAAGAGGAAGTGTTCATTTTTACATCTTCTCCGTATAAGGAAGGTAAGAATTTAGGATTCCCCTAGAGGAAAGGGGTGCATCCATGCCCCAAATGAACACATCCACACATGTGCACACTCACCCACAAACCACCATACCCTTGTGATAATCCCACACCAACACAGCCCCATGACACACCCATGCACACAAAATACACATGTACACACAAGCATACACAGCATGCACATATAGAACATACTCATACAGCACATGTGCACAAAATACGCATGCACATACATGTACACATGCAGATAAAATACAGAGCACATATGTACACACAGCACAGAACACACATGCGCACACAGAAAATATGCATATACACACACAGCACATAGTACACACGTATTCTTGTCTGGCTTTCTCTTCTGAGGTTACAGAATTCAGAGGAATCCAGTGAGGAGCCAGGAGAAAAAAAGGGATGAGCATGACAGCAAAAAGAAAGAGAAGAGGCCTTGTTTCCCAGGATAACAGGGATTCCCTTCCCTGACCCAACTGCCACAAATCCTAGGGTCTGACGAGATGCTGGTGTCTAATGGCATTGAAATAAGAGAAATGAGACCAAGCCATATATATTATGAATGAGATGGGCAAGGCTTCTTCCTGGGGGAATAGGAGGGAGCTTCAGATCAAGCTGCCCAACTTCAGTTCAGTCAAGTTCATGGGAGAAGCAGTGAACAGCAGGAGGATCAGGCTCAACAGAGCAGCAGCTTTTATTTTCACAGTGACCTGAAGTCGGGTAATTGTCCACTGGTCACAGGCAGTTTTGTTTTGATTTGTTTTTTTGCGGTCCTGGGGTTTGAACTCAGGGCCTTGCTTACTAGGCAGACACTCTACCACTTGAGCCACACCCCAAGTCTACAGGCACAGGTTCTAAAGATTTTCTTGTTGTGTGCAAACATCTTGGCTTTATGCTTGGTGGGCTACCTGAGGTCAACGTTGCTCAGGGACTGATGAGATACTTTGGTTGCTGACCTCATCGCTTTGCATAAAGTCCTGGCCTCATGTTTTGGTTGCAGCTGTAGGGTAAGGCTGAGGGACTGAGGATGTTTGGCCTATTGACAAACCATGAGAGTTGGGTAGAGGAAACACAGCTCCTCCAACAGGCAATAGGCCAAGTTAACTCTGTATTAAAACCTTGAACAAAACACTCTTCCAATGATCAACTTGTCTACATGCCAACCTGAGTAGAGTCTGACTCAAAGATCGAGGCAGTGTGAGAATCTGAGTTCAGTGCCCAGTTGACTGCCACCAGAACAAAACAAAACAAAACACAAAAACACTGTGAGCTGCACAAAGTACAGATTCAGTTTAATCAATTTGGGCAGGTCCTCATAAGGGCTTCTACCCTTTTCTCCACTTGCCACAGTTGTCTATCATCTATTATATATCTGGCCAGGAGTATTTTTGTCAATATCATAGATCTACAATTTACTAATAATTTCTTAAAGTACACTATATTATTTTTCTGTTTTGTCTTTTCAAGAGTCAGGAAAGCTTTTGTCTGTTGTGATGACAGTATTCTTAATGTGAAGACACGATGATGGGACGTGTGTGCAGGATGTATACTTTTGTCACACAGTTCATTGTAAGGCAGAGTATTTTGATTCTGATATTCTCAATTGTGAATTAAGCAGTAAATTAGTCATTTTCTATTCATGACTAGCTATATTGATAATAAAATTATTTATAAGTTCACCTAAATGTGGACATTGGAGAGTCTGGGCACCCAATAATCCCTTGTATTCCCTAAGAGGCAACTGTTTTCTCCCATGAAACACAGTTGTCACATCTAAACTAACTCAGAGACTGT